AGGGGGTAGGGATCCACAACCCATCGCGTCTGCGTTTCTGTTGTCCTTTCTTTTCCACGACGCCCTGGTTTCGGGGGAAGCGGGGGCTGATCTGTGGGCAGGGTTATCTGTCCTTCCAGGAGGGGCCCGGACACTCAGGCCCCTGTCACCGACGAGGAGGGGTGGGGTGGGAGGCAGAGGGGGCGCAGCTCGCGGGCGCAGAAACTCGACCTTCGCGGGACATCTCACGGCCATCCATCCAGTGCTCGGAGTCTGCAGCGTCGGGCCATTTCCAGCAAGAGCGCTTCCCGTTCCCAAGGCACCTGAACCCTGCGGTGGGGAAGGCTGGCCGGGGAACCCGCTCGGGCGGGTGGTCTCCATCCGTGGGCGGGAGGCGAGGAGCCGCGGCGGGGTGGGCTTGCCTGCGGGTTTCCGGGAACCCAAACTCATCTCGTGGAACTGTTCTCCTGTGCGTGTGGCGTCTCGTGTTGAATAGGACGAAATGTATTATCAGAAAAAAATTCTCTCTCATCTACAGTGCGGTGCATAAGTATATCCGCAAATAAAGGAGAAACAATGGTGCCCGCCGCCTCCTGTCGGTTCTGCGTTTTGCACCGGGCGGGGCCCCCAGCGCTGGGTGGGCGGCGGGGCAACGGGCCCTGGCCGGCCTGGTGAAGCGGGCGGGCCTGGTGCAACAGCTGCAGTCAAAGGGTCCTGGGAGAGCCCCAAGGAGGGTCCGAACCAAGGGGAGGCTCTGCGGTGCTCGGGGGACTCCGCGGGAAGGAGCCCGTCTCCCTACCCGCCTCCGCCCCTCACCCGCCAGGACAAGGTTTGTTTGGAATCTCTCCCCAGGGTTGGATCCATCTCAGAATTTGGTGGATACGCCGAACCTCCAGTCGAAAAGAAAGGTTTAATTTACGTACAAAGCCCTACACGTTTGTTCAGTGGATATTTACAGACGGCCCTTCACAGCGGGGAGAGGGCTAGGTTCCAGGAGGAACAAACAGCCCTGACCTCTTGGAGGTTACATTCTAGCGGAGAGGCCGACAGTAAACAAGGACCCGCAGACATTCACAACATGACTGCCTGGTCTGGAAGGCATTTCTCACCCTAGGGCACACCCCCACCCCCAAGTCCAAGCTGAGGTTTACACAGCCACAGGGCGAAGCAGCAGCAGCTCAGAGCCATTTGGGCCCCAGCTTCCCCGTTTCTTGCGCCGCCTGTTTGGGCACATGTTTGCTTAAATTGCCCAGTTCTTTTTTTGTGCAGATCCTGTTCCAGGAGCAGCACTCACACTGCCTCCAGAAGTGCCAGCTCCAGGATGGTCGGAAAGGGTCTTGGTTGGACTTTCCAGATGGGATCTGGGAGCAGGAAGGCTGGGCAGTTCCCAGGGTCGCTCTGTCTCCCAGAGAAGCCCGGCGGGAGAGTCCCGGTCCCCACCACCCAGGCAGGGGCCTGCTGGGAACGGCGCCTCCAGGTGCAGTCGGTGTGGGGAAGAGCAGGAGCATGCCCACGCCCCGTGCCCATTTCTCCCGCGGGCTGAGTAGGGGTGTGGGAGAGAGCGCGGGCCTGTGTGGAGACAGGGGAAGGCTGTATTTGTGTCTGGTGAGAGTCTGATGAATGTCTGTGCGTGCCTGAGTGCGCGGAGCATCCGCGAGAGCGCGCCTGTGGCAGTGGTGGCCCCAATAGCCTTGGTTCTGCAGCCACCAAATGGAGCGGGAGCCGACGGGAGCTAAGATCCGGACCCCTGGGCCGCTCGCGGTTCTGACGATTTAAACGGGCCATTTGAGACGACTGCTGTCATCCCCCAACCTCCTTAGTCACTATTGCCGCCCATTCAGCGTTCGGGGCTGGCTCAGGATCCTCAGTTTCCAGGCCCCCTGCGCCCCCTGGTGGCTCCCAGGCCTGGGGCGCGCCCTGTTCCTCCCCCTGCCCCACCCCCACGCTCCTCGGCCGGCCCTTGGACCCTGGGGCGAGGTCGGAGCCCGAGCCCGGGGTGCAGCCTTCAGAGGAAGCCCGGACTGCTGCAGTGGAAGGGAAGGTGGGGACGTCACGCTGCACCAGCTCAGTCCTTCTCATCTTCAAAAGGACGAATGAGACACCCGCGGACTCGGGACAGCGGCTGCCACAAGCCCGGGCTCGTCTGGCTCCGCTCCACGGATCCCCGCTTTGTGCTCAGCCTGCAGCCGCCC